GTCCAGTGGTGAGAATCTTTGTCTTCTTGACATTGAGCCTCAGTCCATTCTGAAGGCTGCAGTCCTTGACCCTCTGCAGCAAGTGCCTGAGGTCCTCCTCGGTTTCAGCAAGCAGGGTTGTGTCATCTGCATAACGCAGATTGTCAATAGATCTTCCACCAATCCTGGGAAAGATAGAGTCAGAGAAAACGAGGAAGGCCCTCAACGAGAAGGAGTGGCACGGTGACTGTAAATGGATTCGCTGCCATCCCCTGCTTCGGACCCCTCTCTGTGTCCTCATCCCAGGTGGGATGATGTTCAGACGACTGACTCCTGACAACTCCGTGAGTCATAGTAGAACTGTAATTGCCAGGCCTTTCTTCCTGGGAGCCTCTGGATGGATTCAGATCGCCGCCTTTTTTTAGCAAGCTCTTGAGAAAGCCTCCTTCCCGAACATGCTATCTCCCAGTCCTCAAACTTTGCCTTTCCCCTCCTCACAGCACTTCCCTTCTCATCTGCCTCAAGTTCCCCTAGCTTGAGGATTCTGAGCAAACATCACCTCCTCCAGGGAGGCTTCCCTGATGCACCCAGTCTTGCATTCAGCATCCCCCTGTGTTCCTGTGTTGCTCCTATTTCCTGCCACAAGCCCTGGTTTGTTGTTGTAAGGTGCTCTAGAGACAATTCTGGACCATTCTTGAAGCTGAGAACCCCTTCTGCTGGGACATAACTCTTTCGGTTTGAGACCCTTCTGGAGCTGGGATTTGTGGACCCTCTATGCCGTGACCATGTGATTTCTCCCGTGTTGTCTTCTTAGGAGCGCATTTCAGTGCCGGCTCATCGTTGTTGTCAGGTGCCGTTGAGTCAACCATCACTCATAGCTGTGTAGTCTCCTGTGAACAGCACATCTGAGCGTGGCTTTACCTGGCGCCGTCTCCACAATCTCCAACCTGCTCCAGCCCATTGGTGCAGTCGCCGTGTCAGTCCACCTCTTTCACTCACTGTCCACCTTTCCCAACATGATGCCTTTTTCAGAGGTTTGGCCCCGGCTGACAATATGCCCACAGTATGTAAGACCAAATTCCACCCTCACAGCCTCAGAGGAGCACCCTGGCTGCCTTTCCTCCGAGACGGATTCGTTTGTACTTTTGTCAGCCCGTGGGATTGATATTCAGTCCTCTGCCAGCACCAGGTGTTCAAACAGTAGGAAGAAGGAGACGAGAGTAGAAAGAAGAGAGAATGGCAGAAAGGGAAAATCATTTGCATCAATACCTGTCCATGGCCTCTGCAACCAAATTTAGTAGTCTTTCAGCCAGAGATCAAGTTCATTAGCAAGGCCATGAGATCCTGGGTCCCGTCAGATCCTGTGCTTTCCCAATTACTAACTGCCTGCTCGAGTCCAAATATTTAATGTCAAGGTATTTCCTTGCATTCTGAGTCGTGAAAACGTGTCATCCTTTGAACACCGAGAATAAAACACTGACGGGTTCAAGCATGTTTGATGAGTAAGGTTCCTCCCTCGCCCACACTCCCCTCCCACCCCTTCAGGATAATGGATAAGTCAGCTGATTCTGATGGAGCTTTCCGCAGGATAACTCTTCTCAGGTGCCGTCCGGTCAGCTGGGACTCACAGCGATCCCGTGCACAACAGAGCAAAGCGTTGCTCAGTCCTGGGCCGTGTCAACAGGGATCTAAGCCCATTGTTAACAGCCACTGTATCGTTCTATCTCCTTGAGCGACTTCCTCTTTTTGGCTCACCCTCAAACATGATGTCCTTCCCGGTAACATATCAAGAGTAAATGTGAGGGACACTTTTGCCATCCTCACTTCTCAGGAGCATTTCCTGGGACATTTAGGATTAACCCACACGTAATCATTAGCAATCATCCACCAAAGTTTGCATAAAAGAAGAAAGTGCTGTGTTGTGTTCCGAGTATATAACCCAGTGCCCACGTTTAACTGCTGTGCACACGCAATGGTTGTTTATGACGGAATATGCAACGAATTGCCTCCATGAACAACTGGATGACCCCTGACCTCCATTAGTGAATGTTTTGATCAAAGAGTCAAATTAGGAGATTCCTGATCAAAAGGGGGGAGAAATACAGAACAGAATTTCAAATGCTCATGCTTTTTGGAGCCATGGGAGATGGTTGATGCCTGGAACCTTTGTCCTGAAATAATCTTTCAACTTAAACCCAAAATATCCCTTAGAGTCTTTTAGAAAGCTATCAATAGTTTAAGTTGTAAAGAGTATCATGGGGGAGCTCTGGTGGCCTAGTGGCAAGAAGCTGCACTGCAATCCCAGAGGAACACGGTTCGAATCCACCAGATGCTCTGCCGGAGAAGGAGGTGCAATATCCTCCTGTACCAGTCAGATCTGATTTGATGGTACACGCACACAAAAATAATAAAAAA